CCCCAAAACCCCAAAACCCCAAAACCCCAAAACCCCTCATACATAAATTTAGCTATTAAATAAATATTTATTAATAAGAATAGACAGCATGAGCACAGCTGGCAACAATGGCGATGGCAATCATCAAAATAGAGGTAAGACCTTGACAGAATGCCACTTTTATTCGTGTCTAAGAGAGTAATGTTAGGGAATTTTAAGCCTGTTAAACACATTTTTAATAATCTATCACAGTTTAGGGCGAGATTCTCATAATTTTTATCTTATTTTATAGAAAGTATCGATCCCGATGACCTCTGGAAGATCCAAAAGAGTCAGAATTTCAGAGCTTCGACAAAAAGGAACTCCTCAAGAGCAATCAGCCAACTTAGGATACCTAAAAATACTCAAAAAAGTCAGCCAAATCCTCGATACATGGTAAATAATAATGTAAATTCCAGATATCATCCAAGCAGATCGTCACTTCACAACAAAAGAGCCTTAACGACTCGTGATATTACCAAAGCTCTGAGCCAGGGCCAACAAAGAGGCCCCTTTACTTACCAAGATTACAAGGAAAAATGGGACCGAATCAAATCAAAAGATGGCAAAATAATAAGAGGCTTCCTTGAGCCGTACAAAGCCAAACATCAGGAACCCTCCAGAGTTAAAACACATTGGGATTATGTCCTAGACGAAGTAGAATACATGTACATTGACTTCAAGGAAGAGCTAAAATTTTAAAAAATCCCTCGCTTCCAAATTCATTCACGAAATCTCTAATTTCCCTCAAAATAGAACTAAGAATGCTAAAAACAAGGAACTGTGAAGGCGGCTGAAGAGTATTCAGATGGGCTCAATGATTCAATCGACCTTTAGTAAGATCAAAAATAACAACAGACTTGACCTTAACCCTGAAATTTTGATGAATATCAATGACACAATTAGGAAAAATGACTTTCACTACCAACTTAGTGAATCAAGGATTAATACTCTAAAGGCAGAATATGATGAAACAGCTTTTAATACCAATGGAGAAAATATGGGTTCTAGTCATCAATCAGTTCTAAATCCAGAAACCCAGGTTAAAGAAGAGCAAATCACATTTGGTGAAGAGCACCAACAGGATGAGTTAATGCCATTACTCAATAGAATAGATCCAGAGCATTTTACAGTCCAGGATTTTGACGAAACTCAAGAAAATAATAATGACTCTGATAATCAGGATTACTACTACCCCATGACTACAAACGATACAGAAGCTCTTCTCGGATCAGATAATCTTGATGGAGGAATAAGAGATATTGAACTTGAACTTCTTCCAAGTTTTTATAGATCCAACTCATCAGACAATTCGATTCAAAAAGCAAAGAACTTCCTGATTTCACATCATTTGGTCAATCATGAAAAAGACATTAATGTTATGAGGGGTCCTTTTATCAAATATAAGATTAAATGTGTCGAGAATGAGGAAGAGCTTGGGGGAGACAATGATGACCTTGTTATTGAATATGTACAAGATAAAATAGACCAAGAAATAAAAGATATTTCTGAGTTATTTACAGAAGCCCCAATAAATCCTCAAAATAACTCACCAGATGCTGATTCTTGCCAAAAATCAGTCCTTTGAAATGACCCTCCTCTTCCTTACCAAATCCCAACCAGAAAACTACCTCCCATCTTAACCACCAAACAGCCCTCTCCAATCTCAATAACCGCTCTAATAACCGAAAAATACCAAAATCCCTCAAAACACCCTTCCTGACCTGGTCGAAAACGCAAAAGAAACCAGAGCCCTGCCCCTCGGGCTCCTTTCCCACTCAAAAAACCTAGACCCTCCTCTCCAGATCTTTGTCTCCTCGAAATCACTGCTAATGACTCAGAATACCGCAAAAACACCTTCAAAACCTACTGAAAGCTACTAAAATTTGTTAACCAAATCAAAGCCGATCCTTCAGTGCCTCCTAGCACTGTCAAGCAGTACGAATTCAGACTAAGTAAAGGCCTTTTAACCAATTTTAACAAAGACCCACAGTCAAAATTCAAAATGATAGTTGACCTTTACGGCAAGGACAGAGGCCAGTTCCTCGAAAAACGCAGGTAAGAGATATTTTGCTATTTATAGACTTCTTTCACTGTTTCAGACTGTCTGGGGTGCTGAACATCACTGGAATAAGGTCTCTAGAGAGACTATTAACCGGACACCTCTGGAGTTGATGGAAGCAGCTCAACATTTTGTACAAGAAATCCCTGAAGGAAATAACCAAATGCCCAAGGAAATCTGGAAGAATTTGAGGACTGTTATTGAGAAATATGAAGAAGCAGAGAGGGAGCAGGAGGCAAAGGCCACTCCAAAGAGGAAGTTCTTGAGGCTACTTATGAAACCTTATAATGAACTACATCCAGTTGAACGACTTGAATTGTACCAGAACGAAGCTAATATCTACGAGGGAGTTCCACTAGAAAATAACTTCAAACGAAATCTGATTCTTTCATATCAATGGAAGAAGATGGAAACTTCGTGGTTTCAAGAAAACATGTCTTCTCATCCTTGATTGAAAAAGCCTTTCAACGATCCTGAGATTGAAGCAGATTTAAAAGGCTTAATGGAAAAGATAATTATCATTCAGCAACATAGCCAGGCAAGAAATGATTCCCACTCTACTCGGAATCTTCATCAAAGCCAGAAATAAATTCTGTTCTTCCATGAGTGTCCATATCCCTGATAATTACTTTTTAGACTAAACATCATAAAATCCAATTATCATTTTGTTTAAAAGATATGCAAATTTGGCAATTTTCAACATTTCAGACGATTTTAGGGGTTTTGGGGTTTTGGGGTTTTGGGG